TATGTGCCACATTCTAGCATGTTTTATGTCTACTAAGGAACCCTGATTGCATAGTGGTTAAAGAATTCAACTGCTAATCAAAAGGTCAAAAGTTCATAACTACCATCCATTCCATGGGAGAAAGATAAGAAAGTCTGCTTCTGTAAAGATTGACAAGCTCGTACACCCTCTGAGCCAGTCTACTCTGCCCTGTAATGTCACGAAGACTCAGAATTGACTCGATGGCCATTGGTTTGCTTTGGTTTTATGCCTACTACCTAGCTACATAATTGATAGACAGCCATCTGCATACCCCTTGCAACATGGTGTGACACATCTAATAATGCAAAGTAAAACTTATTATGAGAAGATAATAAATACAAAAGTAACATTTCCATTTATTTATGGACAAAAGAGAAAAGAAAGGCACGATTGATATTAACAGTCCTGCTACAGTGTTTTTGGAATTTTGTTTTTTTTGTTTTATTTCTGAGTTAAATAATGAGAATGAAAGCCAAAATTGTGCTGAAAATTTACAATACAATGAACTAGAAAATAACCCTGCAAATGTTTTTTTTATAGTCAAAATTATGCATGGAGATATCAAAGTTAAGTGAAGTTAACTGTTGCTGGTTAGTACCATCTAAACCTAACTAACACCAGGTGTTTTCCTGGGTGTTCTCCAAACTTGAGTCCATTAAGAGATTGACAAGGCCCAACATTAATGTTGCAAAATCTTAGAGCACTTGAAAGAGGAGTTCTTCAACTTCAATCTGCTTATCCAGACTTAAAATATTTGGTGGACAAATTCAGCCCATCAGAAGCATTTGGGGAAGAACCTCACCCTACAGTTATGGGTAAATTCAGATTTCTAAAACATTAACTTCTCTGACTTTGGATCTGCCATAACCAATACTACAGTCCATATCTTAAATCCAGGAAATTTTACACACCCATGCACATATAAATATTAAGTTTTTGATCTGATCTTCTCAGATGTTTATGTGTTTATCTGTAGCCTGGTGTTTGGTGTTAATGCATAAACTTGTTGGCATTAGCATCTGTCATTGCAGCCAACTTATGGGCACAGTTAGGTGTCCTACATTTTCCTAATATTATCATGGTGGTCACAGATGGGGGTCAGTGAACAGGATTATACTCTAGGCCAAGGATAAATTCACCTGAGGCTAGTCTTGCACAGATACCAGTGATACAAAATACTGGCAATCCTTCTAAACAACAGAAGACAGACATAGAGTAATCTCTCACAGCCAGATACTGTGGGAGAGAGATCCAATGGATCTACCGACTCAGGACCATAGTACTGGGGGACACCAGACTCAATTGGCACAACAAAATACATAAAAATCTCATCCTACATTGATGAGTAGCGATTGGTGTCTTAAAAGCTTTCAAGGAGCCATCTAAGATGTAACTAATGGTCTCCTATTGTTGGAAGCAAAGAAGAGTGCAAAAAACAAAGGGCATTTGGAGGCAATCAGCCCTAGGATGTGATAAACCTTGAGACCAGCAGAACTAGATGGTGCCCAGCTACCAATGCCAACCACTCCAGAAAGGAT